GCTCTTGGAGTAATTTTGGTTGGCCGGCAACTCCTGGGAAGGTTCACCATTGTTCCAAGCTTTCTCCATTTGTGGATAATGGCTTTGAGCGTGGTTCGCTGGAGTCCCAAAGCCTTAGAAATGGCTTCATAACCCTTTCCAGGCTGATACATGTCAACTATTTTGTTTCTCATCTGTTCTTGAATTTCTTTAGATCGCGGCATGATGTGTTGCTCTTTAAGCATGCTTCACTTTGTCAGACAGGTTCTTTTTAAGTGATTTCATGATTCAACAGGTCTGGCAGTAATCAGGCCTGCGTGTGGCTAGTGAAATTTAACTCAGCTTTCTAAAATAATGTGGTTAAACACAGTTCTTTCATGATTTAACAGGTGGGGGCAATTAATTTTTCACGTAGGGCCAGGTAGGTTTGGACAGCTTTTTTCCCTTAATAAATGAAATCATCATTTAAAAACGCCATTTTGTATTTACTTGCATTATCTTTGTGTAATATTAAAATTTGTTTGATGATCTGAATCATTTTAATTGTGACAAATATACAAAAATGTAAAAAACAGGAAGGGGGCAAAAAACTTTTCACGGCACTGTATATATATATATATACACTCATTTAAACATGTACACCATGTAAAACTATTTTAGTTTTAATTATAAAATTAAATAACTGCATTAATAAATAAAAAAATCATAAAAAAAATCATAAATTTTTTTATATGCATTAATAATAATAATAAAAAAACATATTGAGCTAATTTTAATTAATGCTATTCCCAGAGCAATATCACATAAATTCTCCTGTAGATGCCTGGCATGTCTCACTACCATAATGTACTTGAAGCAAGATTATATCCACACTAATCAAGCACCACCAAATTAGAGTTGTAAATGTGATAATCACTCTACCTCCTTGAGGGAAGAACTGGGAATAGATCGATTTAAACGTCTCCTCATCCACCAATCCGCTGGGACACTCCTATTGAGAAACATAATATGAACCTAAGAACCTAATCTAACATAAGAAGGAAACTTTAAAGGGGTCCTATTATGCTCTTTTACAAAGTCTTGATTTTGTTTTGGGGGTGTACTAGAACAGGCTCTCATACTAGGTTGTTCGAAATTATTTGTCACATATTTTTGCTCAAACAGCAACATTACAGACTAACTAAAGTTGAAAAAGTGAAAAAGCATAATAGGACCCCTTTAACTTGTGACAGTCTCACTTCTTATGCAGTCTTACGTTTTTGAAGCCTCTGTAGAGCGACTGCAGCTCCTTCCTAGTGAACTTGGTCTGAGCCTGCAGCTGCTCCAAGCCCTCTGGCTGATGCCGCACCATGGACAACTCCAGATCACTGTCAGCGCTGTCTGTCAGAGAGAGAGCATGAGGATGAGGAGGAGAGGAGAGGAGAGGGGAGGAGAGGAGTGGGGAGGAGGGGAGTGACTGATATCAGTTGGGCTGCACTAAGGACAGGACAGTAAAGGAGGAAACAGATAAAGCATGGAGTGCAGGTGAAAGGACAGCCACATATTTGGGGTGAAAGAGGAAGACAAAAATAGACACTGAATAAACCACAGAAGAGGAGCTGTTGGGGAGACAGACGGGCCGGAACGGGAGTCTAGGACAGATCAATATCAGTGATTCTCAACCGGTTTTGCTTCAGGGCCCAGAATTTTAATTGGACATCAAGTGGCGACCCGACATCATATGTATGTCCTTAAAATGAAACATTGAAATCTGTCACCCTTGTAAAAAAGACCTACACTTACTTAAGTATGAACTGAATGTAGTGTTTTTGGACATTTAATTGCATGTTAGATGTTAAAGCAAATGCAATTAACTGAAATTTTAAATGATTTTTGACACAACCGAGTAGGAAATAAATACTGTTTATATTTATAAGTAATTTAATAATTACTTCTATTGTCTTTGAAATGGTTAAAGTGTACTGCTGAATGTACTGACAAGCATTTGTAGTAAACTAAATTATACCTTAATGCAATTCTATTGAAACATTAAATATATTTGTAATTCCAAATGACATAATGATATATTAACTTATTTGTAATAATGAATAACACACATAACGTCTTTAAAGCACAACAAATGATTACTAAAACAATTAAATTCTGTCTTCATATAATAATTCAATTATTAAAATGTACTTTAAGTTTAATTTGACTTTATTACAAAGTGCTCTTTTTAAAAGTGTACTTATTAAACAGTCAAGAAATGTCTCTTCAAATATATACCGAAGAGGCCTTTTATTTCATTAATATTATATTACGTGCAAGCAGTTTTTTAAAGTCTATTTTTAAGATTTGAAGTACACTACAAGTGCACATTCAATACAATTAAGCACACATCTGTTTGACAAAGGCAATTTAAACTGCATAGGCCCAAACAATATAAAATATTGTTAACATGACACAAGCTGAATAAGAAAATTATTTTCCATTTTTGTAGAACACAAATAACAGCAGTTGTGTGATTTACCTGTATTTAATGTTATATTTTCTTTTATTGTAGTAGTTTTGTTCATGGTTTCCTGAGAACTGGGTCATGAAATGCAATCTTATGTAATGTTGGAATCTGCATAATTTGGCTTTTATTTGCTGAAATAAGTTTGTTTGTTTGCATTTAGCATTGTTTTTCTTCCAACAACCTTAATAATACCTCGCAACCCACCAGTTGAGAAGCACTGATCTATTTGACATTTACTCACCATCTATGAGGCACACGAGAACATAAAAAGGGAAGGGAAGAGATTTAGAGAATATAGAAATAAGAGGGGAATAAAGAGGAAGCAATGGAAAAACAACACATTAGTTGGACTGTACTTCAACTGCATGTCATTAAATGAATGTATTGTCTCATATTATGAACACAGCTGCTGTATTAGATTATGTGCAGTTGTTACCACCTTGTTCTTTTTGGATTTTTCCAGTTCATTTAGATTAGTTTCCACATGCAGCACATTTTTAAGTTACCTGACCGGTGTACAAGTGTTCAATCAGACACATTTCGTTTAAATCACAAAAGATTTCAATTTCAAAAAATGCTATTCTTTTGAACTTTCGATTCATCAAAGAATCCTACAAATATTAAAGTTATAAAAAATGTTATTTGAGACGGAAATCAGCATATTAGCATAATTTCTGAAGGATCATGTGACACTGAAGACTGGAGGAATGATGCTAAAAATTCAGCTTCGCCAGCACAGAAATAAATGACATTTTAAAAGATATATTCAAATACCATACAATTATTTAAAATTGTAATAATATCCCACATTATTACTGTATTTTGAGTATTAATGCAGCCTTTGTGATCAGGTATAACCAGCTCCTACTACACATTTACCCTTTTTACAGTAAACTAGGGCCAACATCAAAACCATACAGTGGTTCTTACCGTCCAGCGACAGCGGCTCCGTGATGCCAAACTGTTTGAGCACCATTATAAACAGAAGAATCACTATAGCAACTGCAAACAGCTCCATGCCCTGAATAGCCATTGCACTGAGAGCTAACTGCGATAAGCTATGCGATTCCTTCAAGAAAATGTACAAAGGTCAAGAGGTCATGCTAGATTTCAAATGGACAATTTTAGGAAAAGCAACTCATCTCATCAATGTTTCTGCAGCAACAAGTTTGATAAAGTCTTCAGAGTCCATTCCCGTAACAATTCTGAATTCCTGATGCATTAAGCTATAAACAAACCACAAATGTAAACCGCACAGTAATGCCGGCACTACGGATCCTTTAAAATAAAGTCACTAAGTTAGAAATTCCTTCATATCCTCATCCATGTATCTCTATAACAACATCAAGCATACAGAAACCTCCTTCAGCTTTGGTCTCCACAGACTGGTGTGTCATGGTCCTCCTCAGCCTATATATTCCTTATGGAGCACCGAAAGAGTCTGATCTCCAGACTCAGACACTCCCACTTCCCTCTCCATCTCTTTAGCAATAACGCACAATGATGAGCCAGCCATAATGTATGTTTAGATGCAGTTGAACTGGTGCATCATTCATTTACTCGAATGATACAAAACTACAGACTTTATTAATATAGCTAGACATACAAGAGTGGTCTTGGATCTCTGTAAAAGGAGTCTAAAAGGGGTTTCTTTCATGATAATGACAGGCTTACTGTACATTATCCCACTCATTACATGGCTACTTTCCAAATAAATAAATGAAATGTGATAAAGTGGTATGAAATATTGATTTCAGTTCAACTTATTTTATTATGTGAGATGAAAAAGACCATGCAGTAATATGAGATACATGATGCTAGTATATAGGAAAACTTGCCTGAAGCAATTTAGTGAGAAACCAAGCATTTAGTTGTCATTACACAAGAACATCTGACCACAGAATCAAGATTCAGAGTCAAGTACATGGCTTAAATAAAGTTGCTACGAAGTTGAAAAGTGGAGACATCTAAAGTTAAATATAAAGCAAATAAAATATTGAAAATATAAAAAGTAGGCTATTAAATTTATAGAAAGTAAATACAGTACCATTTAAAAAATAAATAACTTTAATACATTAAAAAATAAAAATGCATTTATATATATATATATAAAAAAAAAGAAAAAAAAAAAGAAAGTAAAACATTTTAAATAGATAAATCAAATATGGTAAGTTAATAAATACAATTAAAATTTGAAAAACAAACAATCAAATAAATAAAGTATATTTCAATCATTTAATATGACACTTTGTACGTCACAATCATCAGACTATTGGTGAACTGGCTAGACCATCTAAAATTAAACTTGCCTAATAATGTCTTTCCTCAGCATCTACTGAACAATAACTATTAAAACATCCATAAAGAATCATGACATTACTGCCTCAGACTACTTCACTCACAAACATGCTCTTGAGTGTTTATGCATTAGCGGAAGGACATTATGACTTTTTTTATGGCTCTTCCGTATGTAAAAATAATGTGAAAATCTTAACTATGCTTTTCTGCTCTCTCCTCTCGTCAGCTGTCTAGATCCATGAAACCAAAAGCTTCGTGCCCGTTCAAACTGAGGAGCAGAGTGAACTTTGAATGTTGTGAAGTTGCTGCAATGTCTTAAAAAAAAAGTGACATATATGCAGTGGGATGCAAAAGTCCACCTCAGACAGACTTGATTGTGAAATGCACTGCTGAGGACTGTAAGCCAGTGATATATTTTAAATTAAATGATATGGAAAAAAACAAAACAATATTTTGATCACTAAAGCCGCTATTTTGCCTACTCGTATTTTTTTTGAGTGATATTTTGGTGTTTTTTTTTCAGCAAATGTTGATTTTTGATGAATTTATTTTTTAATTAATCAGCATATAATGTAATTCATTTGAATCAACTGGAAGCCCTAGTTTATATTAATATGAGAACAGTGCATCAGAATTTTGAAGGAAGATATACTAATCACTGATAACATGAAAAACTTTACCCATCAAAGGCCTGAGTGCGGGAGAGGAAAGACGACTGCTGATGAGTTTGCACTTATTAATGCATGAGTTTAAACCGGGCACAGGCATCGGAGAGTCAGGGGAAAATCAATACATGAGGAGAGGACGTGGACCTTGGGGCCTGCCAGAAACTAACTTCAAAACTCTCTGAACTTCCTCTCAAATCGCTGTCTGCATGAAGTTACAAAACAAACAAGAATTCTTTGACATTTATGCAAGACAGGCACAAGGACTGACATAAAACAGGAGGAAAACTATCAGTTGTGTGACACTAAAAGCAGGACAAATTTCAGACTAACTTTTGTGGTTTTAGAAAGTCTCTTACGCTCAAAGCTGCATTCATTCGAACAAAAATAAAGCAAAAACGGTAATATTGTGAAATATTATTATGCTTTAACATAACTGTTTTCTATTTTAAAACATTTTCAAATGTAATTCATTCATTGCAAAGGTAAATTTTCAGCATCATTACGGCCGCGCCATTCTCAAGCCCGCCGCCTCTGCTCACTCTAGCCCTTTCTGCCGTTCCTCACTCTAGCCCCCGGCCTCTGCTCACTCTAGGACGCCGTGTGTGACGCTGTGTTTCGTTGTGAAAGCGAAACTACTTTGTTTGGCT